TTTCTGAACTTCCTCGACTCAAAATTCTAAAACTGGAAAGTTGCACAAATCTTGAATCACTGCCGGATTTTCCAAAAAGTATAGCTGTAATAAATGCAGATGATTGCCATTCATTACAAAGCTTGGCTAATCTCTCTGAAAAGCATGCCTTCTTGTGGAAGGTCTCATTTCTCAATTGTTTCAAACTGTTCGAAAATGAGGAGAACCGTAACGCTTCTGATAAGTTGCTACACTCTCTACTTCAGGTTGGTCTTCAATTTCTCTCCTTTCCAATACACGTGTAAGAGCAATTTCTCTTAACTACATACATTTAGTAATTATCTGTGCTAAATCAATGCTTGATTTCGTGGTTCATAATTAGAGTAAAAGCGGGATTTTAATATATGAAATGAGAAAGATCCTCAATTACAAAGATCCTCAAATGGATAAATTATATGAAATTATATAAATAAGTCACATGCTATTCATTCTAAGTTTAATGTAGTTAGGTGGTGGTGGATGGATCGGTATCTCTGGTGCTTCGGGGGCATTTTCCACCTTTGTTAACATGAAATGAGAAAGATCCTCAATTATATTTTATGGTTGCATGCCTAATCTGTAGAAAAAATAATAATAATAATAATTATAGTAAAATAACACTTTAACAAAATATTAGTACATTTAAACAAAAATCTGTAGAAAAAATGAGAAAAAAAAAAAGAAAAGTGAATCTGCAATTTTATAGAGATGCTATGTAAGGCTTAAATAATGCATAAAACATATAAGCTATCTTTTGTATGAGGTAATGACTTCTTTAAATTTAGATAACAATACATCCATGTATTCATAAATTTTCCAATCCACTGCACGAACTATTGAAGCACCTTTATATCAATAATGTATTAAGACTTCACAAATGAAGTCATAAAAACTCTGAAAGTGTTAATTGTTTTCCTGTTACAGGGACAACCTGTTGTCGATAGTCGATTTAGTATACTCATTCCTGGAAGGGAGGTCCCAGAGTGGTTCAGTTACCAAAAGATGGGTCGTTCAGTAACCATCCCTATAACTCCAGAATGGCATAATAATGTCATTGGGATTGCAGTTTCTATCGTTTTTGAGCGTTTGGTGTCAAAATCAAAAATAGGGGTCACGTTCAAATTGATAAGCCGGGATCATGAGGAGTTCACTCCTAATATCACCCAAACTGCCGCTAAGCTGGAAGAGAACTATGACTCTGCTCATGTGTGGATAGGCTATGTATCGTTCCATCTTTTCCAGCTTCTATTTCCGAAATTTCAGTTAGATGATTGGGCTAAAATAGAGGGATGTGTTACAATTAGTACAATGGAAGAGGCATGGATTAGGCCAAGAGGATGTGGTATTCGCTTAGTGTACAAAGAAGATGTGAAAGAGGCGTCGGCACAACATATGGAGACTCATCCTGGAGTTGACCGAGAATTGTACAAATCAAAAGAGGACCAAGAGAGTATCGATGTACTGACTTTTGGTGTCAATCAATTGAACTGGACTGTAGATCCTGTCGAAGAAGAGGGCACTCAGTTTCGAAGTTTGAGAAACACCACTTCCTTCAAGGTACAGAAGACCCTATCATTTGATTACTAGTTATCAGAAGCAGGGTCTTTCATTGCGTGGCAAAGTCATTTGATTCTGTTGGTAGTTGTCTATGTTTTTTCCATTTTTCCTGCAAAAAAAGAATAAACATTTTGGCTTCCTATGTTTGCTCAACTCAATTCAATGCATGAAAAAAAAAAAAAAAAAGATTCGTAACTTTTCTATTGTTCTGACTGGTGATTTATTGGGTGTTATGTTGCTTAGTATTGTAAGACCAAAATCATTGTCAAATATTTGGTCTGTCTTTCTATGTATTATGTGTCCCTTTGTATAACAAATGTTATTATGGTGAGGATTGTGAATGTTAATGAAATCATTGTGGCTTCTATCGTTCGTCTTATTCTTAAGTCATTTGGCATACTTTACTATTGCGGTGAACATTATTAATACCGTTGGCTTAGGCCATTTATGACTTTCAATTTAGTTTACTGAATTCTTAAGCCGTTTGGCTAAATTTCCAATCAAAGTTACATATGGAGGACTTCTGGTCCCTGCAATGTGTTCCTTCGCTTTCTGCTACATAATGTTCAATGGTGTGGTATGACTCAAATTCCATGATAATTGAATGTTTGATCGATAAAGGAAGCCTAAATAAGTTTGGTTGGGAAGTCTGGTTTTAAAAAAAAAAAAAATCAAATTTCTTTAAGGATTGGAAGTTCGATTGGAAAAATTAATGAAAAATGATTTTGGAGTGCTAGGGACAGAGATGAGGCGTCAAGTTGTGGCGCCTAGGTGCTGACAGCACAAAACGAAATGGCTGGGCACCTGGGTGCCAGAAAGGAACATCTAAGTGCCACCTGTTTGGACATAATCAGATTTATACCTCGATTCTTGTACTACATTCAAACACCAAAATGAGGCTCATATATATACTCCACATGATTTAGGCTTGAGTAAGATAGCAAAATATTGTATAGCATTGAGACAACATCAAAGTGAGAGGATCTAGTTTACAGAGAAAGAGAGAGAGAGACCCCCATATTTTTGATATGTGTTTAGAGTCTTGCAAGATTCTTTTATACTTATTTGCTGTTGATCATAGTGAATTCTCCACCTCCACTCGTGATTTTCCTGGATTTAGGTTTCCGTGTAAATCTTGTGTTTTTATGTGATTCTTTTTCATCTTGTTATATTTTTTTTTGATTGAATATTCACAACAAGTAGTATAAGTCTTACCAATGGATTATTGCAAATTGGCTTGTTTTCAACAAGTGGTATCAAAGTCAATGATCGAAGTTTTTGGAAGAGCCAGTTTGGTTTCATATTAAAGTAAGGTTGATCAACTCATAACAAAGTTTGATTATTTCAGGATGGTATGTATGAAGTTTGAAATTTTGATTTTGGATCGCAACACTAAATCTTCTTTGTGACAGATCAAGGTGCAAGCAGTTCTTGTCCAATTGAATTTGGATGATGTTCTTTTATGGCTGGATAAGATTACCTCAACTTAGACACTAGAGGAAAAACAGTGTAAGGATTGGAAGGTCCTATCATAGATACATTTTCATCTTTCAAATCAAATACTTTAGGGTGTGGTAAAAGGAGAATAGTGTCGTTCCATTACGGTTGATGTCCTTGGTGTGCTGTCGTAGGCATCCAAAAATAGTCTTTAAACCTGTAAAATTAATGTAGTAATGGAAGTAAGGGTCGATCCCACGAAAAGTGTGTAATTCAACAATTTATGCTTCGTATAACGGTTTGGGGGTTTTGTTTATAACGAAATCAATCTTATAACAAATAACAATGTAAATTAACGAGTTGTATTAAATCAATGGAACGAGTCTCGATCAAAGTCAACTTCCACCATTGGAGATTTATAATCATTCATCAATCCACAAAGAATAATCAATCTGCATTCACAATATTCATCGT